TGGGAATCTTGCTGGCTAAGAACTGCCAGAAACTCGTCAGTGATATTGATTATCGCCATTACCTGCACCAGTGGATATGTCTGCCAGACCAGAATGATGTCATTCAAGCTAGAAAGGCTTATGATCTGCAAAGTGATGTGAGTAGGATCTACAACATGTGTACAAGCTTGAATGTTTGGCAGCCCAACTGATGTTAGAGAGCAGCACCTGACTAATGCCTTCTTTTGCTTCAGGCTATTTATAAGCAAGATATGGAATGGCTGAAAGGTGTAGGGTGGATTCCTGTTGGCTCCCTGGAAGTAGAGAAGGTGAAGAGAGCGGGAGACATCTTAAGTGAGAAGAAGTACCGCCAGCCCCCAGAGCAATTTAAGTTTACCAGCATCCCTGATTCTTTGGAGATGGAGTTGGCCAAACATAATGCTGAGACGATGAACAAGGTGAGTCTTGTCATGTTAATTGGACTGTGCTGAGTGTTTTTCACTGTCAGTTTTTACAGTATTTGGAAATAAAATGGGCCCTATGAATGAGATGATCAATAAAATATCTCCCTAGTTATTCATTGTTTTGACCTCATCCATGGAGTTCTCTTCTCAAAAGTGATGCTTCCGCTATGTGTAGATTTCTTGTTTTTGCTCAGCCGTTAATGTCATTTATTTCCTCTCTCCTTATTTCATTAATCCATGTGAAGTGTCAATAACCTCATGTTTTGAGAAAGAATGTTTTAGAAGGGGAGGATCATCAAAAATTAAATGTAGAAATTAAATACAGCATGAGAAAATAAGGCCAAAGAAGGAACAAAATTAGGCTAAGAACAAAATAACGAAAGAGTTTATCAATGATCTCAATTGAATTTGGTCCTGAGTGAACAAATGAACATGGTTCTAATGAAAATGAGGGGTGAAAATTCCTTTGTAAAATATGCTCAAATAAATGTCATGAAAAGAAGCTTGACAACAACCTCAGTATGTGTTCGGCTGAGATTGAATTGCTGGACAAAGTTTACCTAGTAAGCTGCATGAATATTTAAGCCTGGGCTTCTCTAGCCTGACTCCAGTGCTGTATTTGCTCCCCTGCTCTCTCTTACTCAAGGCAGTGAGTTTTTCTCTCTCAGTGACCTGTCTCAGTTGGGTTTCCCAGGAGGCTGTCTCTGCATAATCATCCAGGTTGCTGAATGATGGCTTCTTCTTCTTTTGTTGTTCCACAGCGCCTGTACACTGAGGCTTGGGATAAAGACAAGACTACAATCCATGTCATGCCTGATACCCCTGAAATCATGCTTGCAAAACTCAACAAACTGAACTATAGCGAGGTGAGTATCTGGATGAAGCAAGGAGTGCTCCCAAGTGTATTCAAGGGAATTGTGCCCATTTTGACCCCTCAGGAGCAAATTCAGTGATTGTTGTGTATTCTGTAACAGTGTGGCCATCACAGGTTAGCCGTAGTTGTAATTTGATGAGACGTAGTTCCCGGAGTTGCCCTGAAAGAGTTTGGTTCAATGCAGCATGGTTGACTGTATTCACCCATCACACTGAACTATGGTAAGCCATGGTATGTTCCTATTGGCACAATTTATCATGCAGGTGAACAAATAAACAATAGTCTGTTTCTCCAGTTCTGGTTTTAAAAAAAGAGGACATGTTCTACAACCACTACTAATGGTAAGTCCTGCCTTTGAGAAATTGTTGCATAATTCCTTCTTCCCTGGGAGAAATTTGGCAGGATTCTCTTCTAGATTTCCGAGGCCACAAATAGTGTAGAGAATTCCTAGAAGTAAACTGTGTACAAGCTGTTTGTATCTCAGTAACAAACCATGGCTTTTAAAATGTGCTTTGGTTTGTTCACAGGGACAAATCTCAGCAGAACAATAAGCCAGAATTCCATAAACCACTGTTTGGTTTACCATGATATACAAGCCTGGTTACTGCTACTGTACCACTGCAAGGTTCAGGAGATAACCCTTGTGTGCAGCATAATCTAAAATTAATAAACAGATTCTTCTCTCTCTCTCTTAGAAATTGTACAAACTGGCTATGGAAGAATCAAAGAAGGAAGGCTATGACCTACGGGTTGATGCTATCCCAATTCAAGCAGCCAAGGCATCCAGAAATATTGCCAGCGATGTATGTAGCCCTTTTGCTCTCTCTGTAGCAAGAATTTTAATAGGGGGTCAAATTGTGGACACCATTGTTCAGAATGTGTGATTTTTTCAGTGGGTGTTTCTGAGTTCTGTGAAAGAAAGTACAGTACTTAACCGTGACATTCTATGATAATGTAATTTTGTTTCTTTGGTGGCCAGTGTGTCCTGGGGGTGGGGCTCTTAATGAGGAAAGGCAGTAGTGTGCTTCTTTATCATATTGAGACGAGAGTATAGGAAAATGCCAGAGAATTTAGTTTAATAAATAGAGAATGGAGGGTAACTTACAACTGCAAAACACAATTTTGAGAGAACTGAGGAGAAATTCAAAAGTTTCCCATACTTTTTTCAAGCATTCATCGGCACTTGGAAATGAAGGCAGCTGTGAAATAAATTTTGCAAATGTAACAGAGAATAAATGTGACAATATTAATGTGGGATGAGAACTGAAGTTCCATGCAGTTTGTTTAGCATAACCAAAGAACTGTGGATTTCTTGTTCATTAAACTATCCTCTCCAATGCCACATTAGGAAAATACTTTTCAGAATTGGATGTGGAGTCCTCAATGCCCCCCTTGGCATGGCCTAGACCTGGACTCTTCCAGATATTATTCCAGACTTAATAGGCCCTCCAAATGTTAAGGACTTCAAACTTCATAATCCCTTATTATTGGTCATGCTGCTTTGGGCTTCCACAGTACAATTTCTGTAGAAATATTCTCCTACACAAGTGGTTTACGACTGTGCCTTCCTTTCAGTACAAATACAAAGAAGGCTATCGCAAGCAGCTTGGCCACCATATTGGAGCTCGCAGCGTACAAGATGACCCTAAAATTGTCCATTCCATGAACGTGGCTAAGATGCAGAGTGAGAGGGAATACAAGAAGGACTTTGAGAAATGGAAGACCAAGTACACCAGTCCTGTGGACATGTTGGGAATCTTGCTGGCTAAGAACTGCCAGAAACTCGTCAGTGACGTTGATTATCGCCATTACCTGCACCAGTGGATATGTCTGCCAGACCAGAATGATGTCATCCAAGCTAGAAAGGCTTATGATCTGCAAAGTGATGTGAGTAGGATCTACAATATGTATACAAGCTTGAATGTTTGGCAGCCCAATTGATGTTAGAGAGCAGCACCTGACTAATGCCTTCTTTTGCTTCAGGCTATTTATAAGCAAGATATGGAATGGCTGAAAGGTGTAGGGTGGATTCCTGTTGGCTCCCTGGAAGTAGAGAAGGTGAAGAGAGCGGGAGACATCTTAAGTGAGAAGAAGTACCGCCAGCCCCCAGAGCAATTTAAGTTTACCAGCATCCCTGATTCTTTGGAGATGGAGTTGGCCAAACATAATGCTGAGACGATGAACAAGGTGAGTCTTGATAGTGTGTGTTGATTGGACTATGCTGAGTGGTTTTTTTTGGTGCCAGTACTTGTTTGGAAAATAATGGTAGCGGGCACAATGACTGAGATCATTAACACTATTTTTGCTTCCTTTCTCTGTCATTTCATTAATCCAATAGACTCTCATAACCTATGCAATTTACTTCCAAATATGCCAATTCCTTCCTATTATCATTGTAATTGTACAGAAAAGGAGACATCAGAAATGGTAGAAATCAAATGACAGTGGGATGAAATGCCAAAAAATGTGAAAGCTGTGGCGCATGGACATTTGCACCAAAAATAGAACTGCTGGGCTTGGAATGCATTCACTACCAGTGGGAAGGACTGGCCCCCAAGCAGATGGCATTTCTGACATAGAAGAGAGAGACTGGCTGAAAACCAGTTGCTTAGCACAGTTAGTTGCTCTACAGTAGGCCCTTAGAATCAATTGGGATTTGGTGAGTCAACCCCTGTGTAAATTCCACTGATTCAAGTGGGCCTACTCCAGTTGCAACATACTATGTTAAGCTACTGATAGAGTAGCTTACTCTATAGATAGAGAAGGCAAGACTTGGTGTAGCGTTCACCCTTATTATGTTAAGTAGTCATGAATATTAATGTTGCAGGATAATGTTGCTGAGAGGTGGAGCCGAAAGATATCTGTGCTCTGTGTTTGGAGGGTCAGGCAGGGCCACGAGGTGCAAATGCCACACTTGGTTCTGTGCCTGCTTTGGAAGTGGTGGTTGATTAAACTTTGACCATCTTAGGTATAACCTGCTTGGGAATGGCTCTAAAGTGGAACCTTGTTTGTGATCATGAGAGTATTCATATATCACTCCATTAAAATGCAGACAGCTATAAAAAGTGTTTAACAGAATTGGATAAGATGTGCTAGTATAGTATTTTTTGTATAACACCAATGCCGTGTTTGATTTTTCTACATGGGGAAGCAGTCATAGCTGTTTGGTGAGGTGCTGGTTGTGACATCTTCTGCAGCTTCCATTCTCCATGTGAAAAATCTAGTGGAATACTGGCCAAAAATCTCTTCTTATACCTGTATTGGCTTCTGGTTTTTTGTTATCAGGCAAATTCCATTTGGAATTTCTTTCTCATTTGATTAGGAAGCTGGTGGTCAACCCAACTGTTTAATAGTCAAACTGTCTTGAAAAATAAGTTATGCATATTCTCTGAATCTTAATTCAATTTGGTTAAATTGGTATAGTCTTTAATCTAAAAAAATTCCCAGGTCTCCTTTTGTAAATTCACTGACTTTGGTTCATTAAAATATTCAGATAACTGCTGATGTCGTTTATAGGTACAGCTGCAAAAGCATGAGTTGTCATGTGTTCATATGTTATATTGTATATTGAATATATTTTCTTAAAACAATATGTACTAACTTTTTGTGTCCCCTTTGCAGAGGCTATACACTGAAGCCTGGGATGCTGATAAAAAAACCATTCACGTCATGCCGGATACCCCAGAGATTTTGCTGGCGAAAGCAAATTCAGCAAATATTAGCCATGTAAGAGCATTTTGGAATGACAATTTTTCCCTAAAAAATTGCACATTTCGTAATGTGAACGTAATGATGTAAGCTGCCTTGGGTCCTTTTTAAGGAGAAAGGTGGAGTACATATATTCTAATTTAACATTAAATAAATTATATATGGATTATTTTTATTACATATAGTTTCAAGAACTGTTATGCTTTGTATGAAAAATGTTGGTCTAATTTTATGTAATTACGCTTACTTTCAAGTACTTTTTAATCACTTCCTCTACAGAGACTTTATATTGAAGGATGGGAGGAAGCCAAGAAGAAGGGATATGACCTGAGAGCTGATGCAATTCCTATCAGAAGTGCAAAGGCATCAAGGGACATAGCTAGTGATGTAAGTGGATGGTTTGGTGTCACATTCTAAAAAGAAATACAAATGTCCACCTTTCAAAGTGTCTGTTAAAAAATAATAAATTAGAAGAAAAATAGACATTTTGGTTTGCAGGGATGATGCTCTAAGCTTTAACTGTATTATATATCTCTGACTATTATAGTAAATTATAATATCCCATTTAATATAGTTCATGGTAAATTTCAATAGAGATTAGAAGGGCTTTTGAAGGCACGGAAAAATTTTGGATAGAAAACATTGAGATGGGTCAAACAGGTTCGATAATTGTTTGTTAAAGCATACCTTTAGAAGTTTATATCCACGTCATAAAATGGCATAAAGTAACAATGCATAATGAGACACACTGTTTTCAGAAAATTGTACTTCTAAATTAAAAATGAAATCAAAATATAATGAAGTATTAAACTATATAGGGGTTTTCCCCATCTAACTGAAGATAGCTTCCTCTAAAATGTTTTTTAAGGCAGCTTTCCTCAACCTTTTCTGTAGTGCGGACCGGGGGGAGCCTCTGAGGGAGGTGGGGCGGCCCCTTGCGCTCGCGCATTCCCCCGCCCGCCTGCCCCTGTACACACTTCCCTCCCCACAGCTGCTTTGCGCGGGTGGGGCGCTTGCATGAAAGGGGGAGGGAGCGCTCGCGCTGGCAAGCATGCCCACAAAGCAGCTCTGGAGAAGGGAGTGCATGCGGAGGGGGCATGGGGAGGTTTGTCTTTGCAACCTCCTGGATCTTGCCCACTCCCACCCCTCCACTGTCGCTGCTGGGAAGAGAGCAGCCGGAGCACCCGGCCATGCTCTTCCCTCCCGGTTCTGGCCCACACCCATTCACCTGCCGCCGCCGCCACAAAGGCAGACCTCCCGCCCGCCCCTGCACTCACTTTCCTCCCCACAGTTGCTTTGCGCGCGCGGGGCGCTTGCATGAAAGGGGGAGGGAGCGCTCGCGCTGGCAAGCATGCCCGCAAAGCAGTTCTGGGGAAGGGAGTGCGTGGGGGGGGGGAGGTTTGTCTTCGCTGCCTCCCAGCTCTTGCCCACCCCCACCCCCTCTGCTGTCGCTGCTGGGAAGAGACCAGCCGGAGGACCCAGCCATTTGCTGACTCTGGCTCTTGGCTACCCCCGCCCCCGCCGCTCCGAGTGCATGCGGGGGAGGGGGGCTGGTGGGAGGTCTGTCTTCACGGCCCGGTCAGGGTCAAGCCACGGACCGGCAATGGGCCGCAGACCGGGGGTTGACAACCTCTGTTTTAAGGTGAAACAGGGTGAAACAAAATCCTATGCTGGGTTCTGGACCAAATGGAGAGTACTGGGTTCAAAAATGTCTTGGTTTTTTTTCCCCAAACACAATGTAAACTGAAGTAGCAGATGTTAGCACTGTTGTTCTGGTTTGACATACTGTACAAAGTTGTCTTAGGTTGTTTCATGATCTTGAGGTTCATTCTCATTTAGCTTAGGGTAGTAAAATGGTCCAGAAACAATGTGTCTAAATCTTTGTGTTACTTCATATGGATTACATCACCATGAAAATTTGCTAATATGGTCTTCAATTTCTGCACATTTTCTGTTTCTATTACTTGATTAGCAGGGTAGCTAAGGTAAGTGTTTTCCGTAATATGTAAAATCGCCCTGAAACTTCCACTTTTTCTCTTATAGTATAAATACAAGGAAGCACACGAGAAGCAGAAAGGGCACTACATTGGGGTCAAAAGCCTTCAAGAGGATCCCAAGTTGGTATGGTTTACGCATGTAGCCAAGATCCAGAGTGACAGAGAGTACAAGAAGGACTTTGAGAAATGGAAAACCAAGATCCATAGCCCTGTTGACATGCTCTCAATCTTGCTGGCTAAGAATTGCCAGAAGCTGGTCAGTGACGTGGACTATCGCCATTATTTGCATGAATGGACTTGCCTGCCAGACCAGAATGACGTCATCCAGGCCAGGAAAGTGTACGAGCTGCAAAGTGATGTACGTAGAAGCAGAAGGAAAGCACTGATGTTCATGGGGAAGAGATATGGTGTAGATAGAATATGCTTTTTGTTCTGACTCTGAAGTTCTGCCCCTGCCATCTACAGTTAACAGAATCACGTAGCAAGTGATAGAAAAAGGCCTGTCTGTCTTGACTAGATGGACGAATACTATGACCTGGAAAAATACAGCTTTTTAGGTTCCTACAATCTGATAAATGACCTGTTTATTTATTAAAAGTCTAGCATATCTGCACCCAGGCCCTGGGAGGGGGGGTGCAACAGGGCCATTTCGCCCAGGCCCTTGCCTCAGTCCAGTGCAGCCTGCCATGCATTCTACAAATAAAAAAAAGTAAGTGCCATGATTTACATTTAAAAAATGTGTATCCTGCTTTCCAAATTGTGAGCGGTCCTCACAATGTGAAATGGACCAGGCTTCATCTAAGCTCTCGGGGGGCCTGTCCACACCCCCAAATGTCTCCCTTTTGATAAACTAGAGAAGTTACACAGACACTCTATATTAATGGGATTGTAAAACAAAGGACCCTTGCAAAAAGAAATTTGGGTGGAGCTTATTAATAAACATATATGATTTTCACTGTGCTCAAATGAAAACTGAGAGTAGAAATGGCTGAACTTCAACAGGCTGTGCTGATACCAGTATGTTTTACAAGTAGTCCTAAGCATTTTAGTTAGGAAATAAGTCGCAATGAGTTCATGGGACTTTTGAGCAAATGTGGTTAGGATCTTGCAGTTAGAATACTAATACTGTATTAAAACAGCAGGATTGTGTTAGTATAAGGTCAATAAGCTTTAGCATGAGCTGAATCATATGTATCACTTTGTGCAGTGGTAGGTAAGAATTAGCATTGATTCGGGCAAGAATATACAATTATTGGGAGAATTTAATGATAAGAGTTCAGTGGCTTGATCCAATGCCCTGTCTATGTCCTTACATACACATGAAGTTGGTTACAAATGTGGGCACCTCATTTACGTCAATGGAAAGGGCTGAAATAAATGCAAAAACTCTTTTAGGCAAAGATATTTGACAGGCAGATCAGAACCTTTGATCCTCTATCAGAAAATGATGACTTTTCCTCTCCAAAAGTCTTTTCTCATGATACTGCCCCTGCTGTTCCCCTGCTACTAGGTTATCTTTCCACAAATATATAATTTTCGTTCTTCACAGAATGCTTACAAGTCAGATTTGGAATGGCTGCGTGGTATTGGTTGGATCCCAGAAGGTTCTTTGGAGGTCCAAAGAGTGAAGAAGGCACAGGAAATTCTGAATGACAGACTCTACCGTCAACAGCCAGACTCTCTGAAGTTCACCACTATTGTGGATTCTCCCGATATTGTCTTGGCTAAAGCCAATGCTCTGCTCCAGAGTGGGGTAAGGAAACCTATACTTCCTCTTTGTGCTTCATGTATGTGAATTTTTTTTGAGGATAGCATGCCTCACTTAACAAGTGCTTCGTTTAACGACGAATTCGCTTAGCGATGGCTTCTTTGGAGTGATCTTGCACTCCGTTTAACAATGTTCCCTATGGACGAGTTTCGCATAGCGATGTTTGGGACCATGCTTCGCATAGCGATGACAGTTTGGGTCCCCCTGTTTCGCTTAACGATGGTTTTGACAGCCTCATGTTGGCTGTTTTTTAAATGTTTAAAATGTTTGAAAATGTTTAGAATGCTTGAAATCATAAGTGCACTTAATAAACCCTTTGTTAAACTAATTTGACTTTGTTCCGACTCTTTTTTAATTTGTTGTTGAATCCCCCCCCATTGAGATGCATTGAATAGGTTTCAATGCATTTCCATTGGGGAACCGCGTTTTGCTTAGCGATGTTTCCTATGGCGATTTTCGCTTAAGGACGGCAATTCGTTCCTATTGGAACGGATTATCCGGTTTTCAATGCATTTCAATGGGAAACCGCGTTTCGCTTAGTGATGTTTTCCCATAGCGACGATTTTTTTGGAACCAATTAAAATTGTTAAGCGAGGCACCACTGTACTGTATTTATATGAATACCCTGGGTATCGGAATGAGTAACCTCAAAAATTCTGATTGGTTGCTATAAGTTGGTGACATCAAGTCAAAAATAACTTATAGTGGCCCTAAGAGGGTTTTCAACTACTTTAAGGAGTGATTTTATCAGTTTTACCTCCCGCCGCAAGTTTCCATGGCTGAGCAGAGATTTGAACCCAGGTCTACTCCATCTCATGGCCCAACTCAATACAGTATATCGTAACATAAATATTGATTATCTGTGGTTGTCTTTCCTCCTTAGGCATTATATCGCGAACTCTGGGATAAAGAAAAGACACAATTCACCCTCCCACCTGATACTCCCGAGTTGATCCTCTCCAAAATGAATGCTCTGAATGCCAGCAAGGTAAGAAATGAAATAAGTAACTATGGATGTATCTCAGAAGATTCCTTGTGCCCTGGGACCTCCTACATCCTCAAATTTTAACTATTCTCACTAGAAGGTGGAAATGTGATTTGTTCAGAATGAAAGCGGCTCCCCAAGGTCCAAGGATGTTTGTGTGCAGCTCCCCGACTTTTGGGATGATGTCCATCCCTGCTCTAGGCCTACATTTCCTTGGTTAAGCACAGGGCTGGATTAGATGGCCCAGAAAATTCACTCTAAGTGTAGGATCCTAGGAGTGTAGGTACGTATAGTTTGATTGCATATGGATATCTTTGCAAGTAAGTTCTTATGAAAGACTGGCCTTGGGAAAAGCAATAATCAAGATCCAGTGCTGTACTCCCACCCCCCCTCCCCGGATCTCCCATCGCAAAACACTGTGGTACCAGAAAACATGTTCAATGGAGTTTCCCGACCCTCTGGAGTGGGTTCTTGGTTGTACAAAATCTAGAGGAGGAAGACGAGGTTGCTAATCGGTGAAATCAATGAGATCCAGTAGAAGTACCTCATTGGATCTTGGTCCCTATGTGCTATGACTTTACAGGTGTACCTCGGTTTACAAAATTAATGCATCCTCCGGAATGTTATGTCATGTGGAAATTTCATAAACTGATACATGGCTTGCGCTAGGAATGGGAGTGGCACTAGAAACCACAATGTGTCCTGGGGGAAACCCTTTTGTACAGCGGGGGGGGGGGGAGAAAAAGAAAGAAAAAGAACGTAAACCAGAGCATTATTTTCTATGGATTTTGGTTCATAAACCAAAAATTACATAAACCGAGGCTTTCGTAAAGTGAGGTACCGCTGTATTGTCATAACAATCTGTTAAACTCACCATTATTTGCCTTTGTGATGAGGACTACAACATAATGGTCTTAAACCTGTGAGCAATATTCAATGGCTCTTAATTGGTATGACATACAATGCCATATGCTCCACATGGGGCTGCCTTTGAGTCCAATACGGAAACTTTAGCAGGTCCAGAGGATGGCGACCGGACTAGTTACAGGATTGTTTAAACATCAGTATATCACCTTAGTACTGGCCACCCTGTGCTGATTGACCTATAAAGACCTTAGTGGTTTAATACCTCAGCAAATGGCTGACCGCCTCCTTCCAAGTGGTCCTGCCCTCCCTACCCATACTTCCCAGGCCGGAGATTTGAGGTTGCCAATCCCTAGAGGAGCCCGGAAGGAAAGAACAAGAACCTGTGTTTGCTCTCCTATTGTGTAATGAACTTCTGTTCAACATTTGCCTGGCCCTTTCCTTGGTAACATTCGAGAAATCTTTGAAAACTTTTCTATTCAGGCAGGCTTTTCAATCTATTCCATCTAATAGCTGCTGATTATACATATTTAACACTTGTTGCTGCTGTCTGTTTTCAATGTTTAATATGTATTCGTTGATTAATTTAATTAAATGTTGCTGATTTTTAATCTTTTGTTCTGTTGTTTATTTTATTTAATGATGTCATGTCAATTTATTATGTTCGTGTTTTATGATTATTAACTATGTTTTGTTTTCTGTTGTACACCATCCAGGCCAGATGGCGTGGTATAAAAGTGTGAAAAAATAAATAGATAATAAATGGTAACATGTTATTCCTTTCTTCCACAGAAATATTATCAATCAGGGTGGGAAGAAACTAAGAAGAAAGGTCACGACTTAAGACTGGATGCCATTGAAATCCAGCATGCCAAGGCTTCTAGAAATATTGCCAGTGAGGTATGGTCTGTTGTTTGATATGTCTGCTAAAATATTTCCCATAATGTACAACAAGTGAACGATGTTTGGGTAAATAGCAGAAAGCTAACATCAAACAAGCAGGCATTTTCACACAGATGTGTGACATTCGTGGATGTTTATGCCCAAAATGTCTATTGTCCCACATATATGGAGGGACAGTTTCAGCAGACCTATTCACACTGTGGATCAGGTTACTATTGTGTGTGCA